TAATGGATGCTTCTTCTTTACTACTGTAACTGGTCCAAGTATGGACTGATCAGAGATATTTCCTGGGATTTTTCTAATTGGAAGAACAAGGAAGAACTCTTATTCTTCTCTGATTCTGATAATATGAGGTTATTCATCTCCCTCTTTCTGAAAGGGTATTCTCCACTGCCAATCTCATAGGTGGGAAAAGATTGACTGCAATTGAAGAGAATTATGTCAATGTACAGAGAAAAGCCCAGGTGGAAAAAAGAGAGATCCCTGAAAAGATTTGAATTCATGATTATAATTAGTTATGGGAAGTACACCACCTCTGCCTTTTCTAAGATTTGAGTAGCTGAACAACAAATTCTGATTTATGTTTCAAAACCAGTTAGAACTGGGTTTCTGTCACTTACAATCACACGAAAGCTGTCTTTAGTAAATGGCACTATACCGAATACAGGGAAAATGTGCTGATGGTTCTTTTCAAACCATATTATAAAAACAAATGGGACTAAAGCTGTTACTAAAAAAATGATGGCACGAACAGTACTTGAAAATGTAACAATAAAATGAACAATGTGATCTTCCATTTAGAAAAAAGAAGTACAGAAGTTGGAAATCGTGTTATAAATAAAAATGAAATCCCAGAACTAAATAATGCATAGTTACATTGTGTAAGTCTATGTGTAAATATTTTTGATACAGCACGTATTACTGCACTTCCCAATCTTAGGGAAACAGTTTCTTCCACTGTATTTTTAGGTCTTTTCTGAATAATGAAGCATTCTGGACTTATTCTCCATAGAAACAAAGACGTGACAAGGACACTGGTATACTATTCATCATGGCCAGGACCTTGCCACTACAGGGCAGTCTGGGTGTGCTGCCACTGTGCTGTGTAGCTAGGTAGAATTTGAATTGGCAAACGTTGCCTTCCCGGGCAGGAGCTCTACCTGTTCAGTGCATTCATCTAATGCCAATTTGACATTTCCAATGCTATTTTGTCGAAGGATCCAAGCACACAATATGCGCTTAAAATGATTACCTCAGCACATTTAAAAAAATACATATACGTAGTATCCTTAGGCATGGGCTAAGTTTGGCTGATTATCAATATTCGTTCTATAGTGATTTATTTTGAGTGTATAAACCAGTTCATTTTGCATATTGAATGAATTCTTACCATCACAGGTTGGGAGTGGATGACTCCACCAGTGGTTTTTTTCACATAGAAGAGGCTCTTCGTGACTCAGCCTGTATCCTGGATCACAACTAAATGAAACAGTAGATCCAATGGAGAAATCGTGACCATAGCGGCGGCCATGTACAGGTATGCCAGGGTCCAGGCAAGAATAGGTGTTCACTGTAACGCCTGAGAAACAAAGGGAATATAACAAAGAGTAAGCTTGATGGGAATCAGACTTGCTGAAATTCATTTCTGTCTTCAAACAATTGTGAATTATAATTTTCACAAACAAATTAATGTGCCCAGAGCTTTATTTTAAAAACCAGCAATTTATTTAACAACTCTGTTTTGATATTCCCTTTGACATTGCCACAAAGAGTAAAATCGGGTCATTTACTGATATATGAACTTGAGAATATTTAATTATCTATCAAACTTTGTGCTATTATAAACTATATATATATATGCAATCATAGCATTAATTAATGTTTCTTGAGTTTATTAGATTCCAGGAACAACTCTAAAAATTTTGCAAAATTTGCTTCATTTAGTCCTTAAAAGAATTCTAGGAAATTAATTTCATTATTAAAACTTTATTTGATTGCTAGGTGACTTTGACTTTGGAGCCCTTGTCCATAACCAATCATATTTACAATGTTTTCTGAAATTTTTAATCAACTTTTATATTTGAACTTTATCATTTTGATAAAATATATATATAAAAAGAAGAGTAGAGGCAATTTGCCGTATATGCAAGTATGAACAGCAGTACCTTTCTAAGTAAAACAGTGCTATTGCTCTGGTGGCTACTTGTTGAGATTTTCAACAGCCTCAAATCTTCCCTGAGATTTCTAATTCTTAGCTGGGAACATACCATGACTATGCTTTTCCCTTAACAAGATATGGCTTCCCGGCTTTGGCCCTATTGACTTTTTGGGTAGAATAATTCTTTGCTGTGGGGCTGTCCTGTTCATTGTAGTGTGTTTAGCAGCATCCCTGGCCTCTACCTGCTAGAATGCCAACAACACTCCTGTAGTCATGGCAATCACAAATGTCTCCAATATTGCCAAATGTCTCCTGGGGTAAGAAAATACCTGCAGTTAACAATTGGGGTATAAGGTAAAATAAATAATTCTTATTCTTTCTAAGAGGGAGATTTAAACAATGAATCACTGCTGTTTTTATAATCCAAAAAAATAACAATTAGCATTTTCAAAAATTACATCTCATATTAAATCATCCACATGAGTAAATATTTATTTGTGTTAGCTACCCAATTTTAAAATGAAGCTAAACAAAATACTAAAAGAAGTCCCATTTTAAAGAGGTAAACTGTACATTTTAAGTATATTTGTCGACCATATTCATTTCATTTCATTGCTGTTTTAAATGAGCAACTAAAATATAACAGAAAATTTTATGTTGAACACATTTACTTTTACCTGCTAATTTCCTCTTCTAAATATGACTTCTAGGCCCCCAAGGCTTTGAAATCCTCATTCATCTTTGAATCCCTCTCAGAATTTTTTCCTCCACAAAATATGTCTGAAATCCACCCTCACTGAAAAGCATAATGTAATTTATTCTCTTACCCTACCCAAGGCATTAATCACTTCAAGTCTATAAGACAAACAGTAATGTCTGGCTTTTCTCTCAGTTATCTTTTATCTCCAATCTGTTCTATATACAATTTTGGACATATATATCCCTAAAACTTATAATTTCATTGTTTTTGAACCCTACTGTTAATGGTGTAAGTTCAACATCAGCACCATTAAAGACTCCCAAACTGAACTCACTATTCTTAATTTCCATTATCTCCCAATAGTTATTTTTCATAGTCAGGTGAATCTCCTTACTAATTTTACACTTTATTTCTCTGCCACAAATACCCTCAATTTTCCCCTTAATTTACACAATCTTCTCAAAGTTTAACTGACAAGTTCAGATCCACTCTCCTTCAAATCTTGATTTTCTAATGCTCCAGCTCATATATAACTTTCCTTTATTCAATACGTTTATGTTGCAGTGATATCTTAAGAAATTAGGGAAGAGGGGGTTTGAAGAGGTCAGTCGCAAAAATTTATAGTATGGTAAAAGCAAATCAAACAAATTTAATTATCCCAAAGTGATTTTAATTGTTTCAGATTACTCAGAGTAGAGGTCAGTGAAGAGTACAGGTTAATCCTTTGATTTGTCCTTCTTGTCTCTCCAATTGAAGGATGACATAAGATGATACATTTATTTTATGTTCCCTGCTGTACTATGTGCATCCATATATAGAGAAAGACAGAGTGGGGTGAAAAGTGCCCCTGGAAAGGTAATAAAATGAAAGTCTAGATTGCAAACAGTATAGCATTACAAAAAATCTTTCCCATAGAATTTTGGTCCTCTGGAGAAATCCAGTTTTCTTTTTCAAACAAATTTAATTTTAAAAAAAAAATAGAAATTCACCAAACACCAAATATATTTTTAAAGTTTTAATTAGTGTAATAAAGAAAGTTTTACTCTACTGGCTTGGAATGGTTTGTTTTAAAAAGACACTTTGGTGACATTCAGCTTGGGAAACTTATCAAGTGACAACAGAGAAAGTTTTTTGTTTGTGTTCCTGATAAGAAAGCATTCCTGATATTAGAGATTATTTCAGAATAGTAAGTAAACCACAAGACTGAATAAAATAAAAATGAAAGAAAGTTATCTCTTGGAAGCTAATTTAAGAATAAAGTTATTGCCTCCTGGCAAATTTGACCAAAATCAATATTGTGTCTCTCATCTACTTCTCCTAGCTTGGCCTCCATTCTGCCTTTTTGGGAACTAGCCCTCGATAATAACTTGGACTACGTCACCAAGGGCCTAGAGGTGACAAACTTGTTGACTGTGACAAAGGCCCTGTGCCTCGATCAAACTTTGGCAGGCTCCTCTGAATTCTCGTTTTGACTAAGCGTCACCCCTGGACTCTGTCCATGGCCCATTTAGTCCAGTTTTAGCAAAATTCCTGTTATGTCAGTTTATTGAAAATCCCCCAACCTTGATGTCTGAATAGACTCCTCGTTCCTCCACCCTCAATATTGTATAACCCGGGCCTGCCTTCAGCAAAAATCCTGTCTTGGTAGGTTAGGCCAAATTCCCCCAACCTCTAATGTTCCCTCTGCATTTTCCTCCCACTGATTTCCACCCTGCTCCTTGGCTATAAATCCCCCCTTGTAGTCAGAGTTGAGCTCATCTCTCTCCCCTAATACAACAACCCCATTGTAGTAAAAGTCTGCTTTACTGTCCTTCACAAGTGTCATAAATCATTTCTTCTTTGGTAACAAAAGAATACTTTTGAGCTTGACTTCCTGGTTTTATCTCTCATCTGATAAGTTTTTATAGGAAAAACATAAAAGCTATCATTTATTGACCACTTACTGAATCTTAGCTGTTATAATAACATGTGTTATTTTGCATGTGTGTTTTCATTTAATCTTTAAAATAGCCGTGTGTCTGACACATGATACAGACCACATACCTTGGCTGAAGTGGGATTGAATGTGATTAATTGGGCATAAGATATAGCAATGGACTAAAAGAAAAGGCGTCTGCCTGCCTATTTGTGGCATACTGATAAAAATGAATTGCTAGTAAGAATTCATGTTGGATACGATTTCAAAAAAAAATGATTCTACTCTGACTCAGCTTTAATAAATACATATTAAATTAAGATCTCAGTTAAGGTCTTTTAGTTCATTTGAATTCTCAAGTATACGTTAATCCTCTTGTTGCATTTTAGAATAATGTTTAGAAAATATACTTCTATGCCATAAAGTTCTAAATAAAGGAAAGAATATAATTAAACAATGTTGTGGATAAGAAGAATTAAAAAAAAAAAAAGCAGTGAATATATATTGATTATGGTTTTAAAGACCCATGAGTCCACTGACCAGATCTACTGGAGACACACCCAATATGGATTATAAAGTTATAAATATCAAATGCAAAAACCTTTTCTTAAGGGCGAAGGTGTAATACGAGACTTGGATATAATAAGAAGTGGTATCTATCTGCACTTGATATCTTGCAGTGACCCTCTTAAAGGTGCTGCTAGATCCTTTCACCAAAACTGTTTTTCATGCAAAGATATGGCAATGTATTTCTAGATGAAAACAGATACATATATAAGTTTATGTGTATAGACACACCCATACATCATATGTAATATATCCACACATGTATAAATATGTCAGATGCTTATAAATAACACAGAGACTTGTTGTTATGTATATACTAATATCAATGTTTAAAAAAATATATGACATGTTTTAGACTTTTTGAACAAAAAATACCTTTCAAGTGAGATTATTATAAGCTAATTCTAGCACTGTAAATTACACCTTGTTTTTAATTGTTTTAATATATAGACTATGACCAATTATGTTAGCCATATTTAAATATGTGTATATATTTTACTTTTCAATGTAATATAATTTTCAATACTTTATACAAAATAAAATTTAATATTTTCAATGGGAAATGTGTGCAATCAGTGTGGGTAAAATATAAAAGAGTGATTGATTTTATGAAGTAAATGCTAAAAGGATTTGTCAATATTCATATACATCTTAGACTGATGTTTACTGACTGCACAAATAACTAGTACATGAGCTCATTTTTAAAAAATTTATTTGATACTTCTGACATTTCTTTAGTATTGCCTTTCTTAATGATATTAGATATTGTTGGAAAATCTATTGCAGAATTTATTAAAATATACACCTTGTAAACCATTAGCATTCTCATAGGCCAAAGAGAGCTTTCTTTTTTTTATATATATATATTAATCTCCTAGTTCTCTTAGAGATACAATGGTCAAAGGTAAAATCAAATGTAGGGAAAACAAAATTATCAAAAAACACTTTGGCATTACTTACTTTCATAATGAATCTTGAAACCATTATTAGAACGGCTGTTGTCTGTTGTAAATAGGAGGTATATAAAATTACTGCTACTAAATAGAAACTGGGGCACTTGTGTGCCATTGTAAGATCCAAGCAAGGGTGACAGAAGATTTGGCCCATCATGAACTTCCAGAACATCATAATTTAGTTCAGTCTGAAATCTAAGATTAAGAGACACATATGAAAATGCAGTATTAGAATAACACTATAAAGGAAAATAATACCTTAGATTACTATTTAAATTACTTTTGAAAATGTTTACCATTTTTATATTATACTTCTCTTTAGCTTATCTAATATATAAGACCCCCATCATTTGCAAATACCAAAGTTATAAACTCTTATTCCTAGATAGAATTGTCACTAAGAAGGTATGTGTATCTATTTGTTGTTCATAAGATTTCTTTCAAATGTTATGGATTGTCTGTCCTCAGTAAATAAATGGCCTTTTTACTACTGAGGAGTATTTTTGGAGTAAGCATTCTTTGCCTTCCTTATTTCAATGGAAAAGTATGTGATTTATATTGACTCTTCATTAAGAAAATCAGATTTTCATCTTATTTGTATATATATTTCAAATCTGACCTCTGCTTTATATAGTGGTTTTTTTGACAAATATTCTTGCCATTAAAATGTTTCTATAGTTTTTATTTCAAAACAGTAGTTCTAATTATAAGTAGGTAGTAATAATGATGATAGAGTTGATGTTTACTAAGTGCCTGATGATAAAATACTTTATATTATTTACCTAATCCTCCCACTCGCCCTATAAGTTGGCTCCTATTATAATACTCTCTTTGCAGATAAGAACATTGAGGCCTGCAGCACTTAAACAGTATTACGTTTTTTTAAATGACAGAGCTATCCCTCAAATCCGGGTATCTGTTCCCAACCATTACACTATGCTGGCTGGTTTTATTTTTATATTCCTGGTTGTTGTTAATCCTATCATTTTCAATCTTTTAAAAAGGCACCATTGTATTATAAAATGCAATCAACACAGTGCTACTTTTAACATGCATAACATATTAATAAAAATAGCATTTTGTATTCCTTCCTTCCGTTTCAAGATTATGGTATATTCTGAATCTGAATTACAAATCTTTGCTATAGAAAAACTTCACGTGGTATTGTGGAAAACTGAATATCTTACTTCTTTGCCCACGATGATCCTGAAGTCCAGGATCTGTCCTTTGGCTGTCCTTACCAAGATTTTCCTAGAGATCTTTCAGTGTTCAGCTTAAATATGCCCACAGAAAGCCCTTCCCTAACATCAATTTCAATTAGTTCTATGATACTGCCACAATTTACTGTGCCTTTTGTGACACTAATCACAGTTGTGTTTGCTTGTTGTTGTTGTTTTTTAAATTTTTATTGGGGAACAGTGTGTTTTTTCAGGACCCATCAGCTCCAAGTTAAATAGTTGTTTCAATCCTGTTGTGAAGGGCGCAGCTCAGCGGCCCATGTGGGGATCGAACCGGCAACCTTGGTGTTGTGTGCACTGCAATCTAACAAACTGAGCTAACTGCTGCCTTGTGTTTGCTTGTTTGATAACTGTTTCCTTTAAGAGTCTATAAACTCCATGAGGTCAGACAGTGTCAGTATTTCTCAACTGTCTGCATACAGCAGACAAGCAATAAATATTTATTGAATAAGTGTACATGAATGAATGAATGTATTTTAAAGGCAAAATTATTTTTCTTTTCTCTAGGGCTGTTACTAAATTAACAGAAACAAACAAACAAAAAAACACACAAAACACTCAATATACTTGGACACTGCACTTTTAACCATGCATTGTCATCCTGGTAAAATGTACCTTTCAATACATTTTTGGTAACTAGTTATCTCTAGTACACTTTAAAACATAATTTTCAGTTGAAATGTACACCAATTTTCAGATAACCACTTTTACTATCATACCTAACAGGTTTTTCCAGCATTGCAACATTAAACTACATTATTCTTCAAAAAAAAACCAACCAGACCAAAAAAAAATCAAAACCTGATCAACACAAATTGAATGGAAAATTTAAAAATTAGAAACTTCATTTCATTATAAAATCTCTGATAGGATTGTGAACATGGCATATCAGTAGTCAAAATTGAGTGTGTAATTTAATGCTCTTTAAGAAGTACAATTGAAATACTTTCCAATATGTACCACTGTTACATCCTATTAAACAACATATTTAATGAAATGAATGGATTGCATAACTTTATCTTACTTTTTATTTTGCTACCTGGAATATACTGTGTTTTTCTAAAATACCTTTTCCAATAATATAATTTAGAATAGGAAGTGTACACAAACACACACACTTGCAGCTGTGCATTGTGAACCCATTATTTGGTTGTTTCGTAGTCAGTCTATTGTAGTATTATAATTGAAATTTCATTTTGATAGCTAATCAGCTAATAATAATCAAATTAAAATGCACAGAAGAATCAGGGATTACACTGAATTGAAACATAAAGAAACGTAATTCTTAATAGAACAGGACCATTAACTGGTGATATACAGAACATTGGTAAGTAGGAGTAAATCTTTAAAAAGAATATCATCACAGATTTGTCCTAAGGAACTATAAAAATGCTTTATAATAACAAAGGAAATGGAATAGGGTTACATAATAATTTGAATTTCTTTCTTTTTTTTTCATTTTGTGTTTTAAGATAGCTGTATAAATTTCTCATGAATTCTCTCAATCTAATGTTCATTTGTTTATGACATTAAATTTATTATCATAAATAAATGTTATAGAACCACTAGATGATATTAAAAATGAAACTGGATCTAATGTTTTTCAGTTTTTGTCACCTTTTAAAAACATTCCTGATGCAACTGAAATCCATTTTGATCAAATTGAGATTGTCCTCATTAATTTAAAAAGAAAATTGCTCTCTGGGAGACTGATGCTGATAGCTTGTGGTCAAGTAGTTGAGGACAGGAGAAGGAATAGAAAGGAACAGAAAAGAAACAGGCTTAGGATAATTAATGGTAAAATTACTTTAGTTAGGAGCTGTCAAATATTGAGAAAATTTAGGAAAACTGGAACAAAACAAAACAAACATTTCTCTGCATATCTGAGGATAACACTTGTTATCAGTGTTCGGTTGTTAGGAAGAGACAAACATTAAAAAATTGCCCATGTTCATAGGTGTTATAGTTACTTTGTTTTGTATTTGATAAAAAAATATAGTTCGGAAAATTTCACTGACATGCTACTTTGGGCAATCTCAATAAGCTAACTAGCAGCTAATATATTTGTAATGTTTTTTAGTTTTTTTCTGGAGATTACTTCTAACCAATTGCTACATTTGAGAATCTAGGAAACACTGCAAAATAGCTATGCTACCATCTTAATTATATTATCTAATATTTAAAAATTTCCTTTTCAACCAAATTAAGTTATTCATGAGTACTAGAATGCAAGTGACATAATTCTGTAATAAATACAATTGATTATTTGTAACCAAATTCTATAAACATAGATTCTCGGAATGAGAGGGACTATTAAAGAGTTGTCAACCAGTATCTTTATGAGAGCTTGGCTGTAATTCAGAAGAAAACAAGGTTTTTCAAGAATATAATTCTTGTTAGATATTTCTGAGGTATCTTGTTTCTTAAAACAATTGTCAAGGGAAAAATTAAGCACTAAGATGTTATAAGGTCACTATAAAAGGAAGTGACAGATGTACATATTTCTGATTTCAAATTATTTTATGCTACCACCGGAATGGATAAAACTCTTATTTGTTTTTTAACCTAATCAAGCCCCTGGCTCATTGCTTTGCTACTGAGTTATGAATAACCATGTGACAGCTCTTTACCACGTGGATTATTTTAAAGGAACCAGTTTTCTGACAAAGCACATGGAGTGCAGACAGCCCTAATAGAAAATCTCATACCCCTAAAGTGTCTTAGGAAAGAAGAAATGGGAGAAGGTCTTTAAATATAATTTTCAGTTCAAATAGCTCCAACTCAAGAATCATATGTGTGTGTGAGTGTGTGTGTGTGTGATTGTAAAATTCAATCATCAGAGCATAATTCTAATATATATATTTATATATTTATATGCTTACCACATGAATACAATGCTTACAGAGGTTTCTTTTTCTTTTTTTTTT